TTTCCTTAGACCATGAGATCGTGTAACTCCCGGACACCGTAGGAGTGCTTTGCGTGTACCAAACGTCACAACGTAACTGGATGACCATAAAGGTATACTGCGGGTATCTCCGAAAGTGTCTGTTGGGTTGACACGGATCAAGACTGGGATTTGTCACTCCGTATGACGGAGAGGTATCACTGGGCCCACTCGGTAATGCATCATCATTATGAGCTCAAAGTGAACAAGTGTCTGGTTATGGGATCATGCATTACGGTACAAGTAAAGTGACTTGCCGGTAATGAGATTGAACGAGGTATTGGGATACCGACGATCGAATCTCGGGCAAGTAACATACCGATTAACAAAGGGAATTGTATACGGGGTTGCTTGAATCCTCGACATCGTGGTTCATCCGATGAGATCATCGAGGAGCATGTGGGAGCCAACATGGGTATCCAGATCCCGCTGTTGGTTATTGACCGGAGAGCAATCTCGGTCATGTCTACATGTCTCCCGAACCCGTAGGGTCTACACACTTAAGGTTCGGTGACGCTAGGGTTGTAGGGATATGTATATGCAGTAACCCGAATGTTGTTCGGAGTCCCGAATGAGATCCCGGACGTCACGAGGAGTTTCGAAATGGTCCGGAGGTAAAGAATTATATATAGGAAGTGCTATTTCGGCCATCGGGACAAGTTTCGTGGTCACCGGTATTGTACCGGGACCACCGGAAGGGTCCCGGGGGTCCACCGGGTGGGGCCACCCATCCCGGAGGGCCCCATGGGCCAAAGTGGGGAGGGGAACCAGCCCATAGTGGGCTGGTGCGCCCCCTAGGCCCAACCCATGCGCCTAGGGTTGGAACCCTAGGGGTGGGGGGGGGGGGCGCCCCACCTTGCCTTGGGGGCTACTCCAGCCCTGGCCGCCCCCCCCTAGGAGATCTCATCTCCTAGGGCCGGCGCCCCCCCAGGCCCCCTATATATAGTGGGGGGGAGGGAGGGCCTCTTTCCCCACGCCTTTGGTGCCTCCCTCTCCCTCTCCAACACCCCCTCCTCCTCCATAGTGCTTGGCGAAGCCTTGACGGAGTACTGCAGCTCCACCACCACCACGCCGTCGTGCTGCTGCTGGAGCCATCTTCCTCAACCTCTCCTTCCCCCTTGCTGGATCAAGAAGAAGGAGACGTTACGCTGACCGTACGTGTGTTGAACGCGGAGGTGCCGTCCGTTCGGCGCTAGGATCTCCGGTGATTTGGATCACGTTGTGTACGACTTCGTCATCCCTGTTCTTTGAACGCTTCCGCGCGTGATCTACAAAGGTATGTAGATGCAATCCAATCACTCGTTGCTAGATGAACTCATAGATGGATCTTGGTGAAACCGTAGGAAAATTTTTGTTTTTCTGCAACGTTCCCCAACACAGACTATGTCCGATCGCCCGATTTGCGGCGTCTTTTGTGAGCGGGAACGACCAAGTTTAAATTTCCTGCATCCTGGAGCCGGCGCGTGGGGGCGTGACTGGGCGCTAGGTCGCCCCCAGGGGCCGAACTAGTGCCGGCACGCCCCCAGGCCGCTCTATTTAGACGTCCTGGGGGGCCGAACGGCTGGAGATGCCCTTACCCATATCTTTCCTGGTTCTTGTAGCAGACAATAACTACGTTAATTGCAGTAAAACCTTATCAGTCAAAGTTCTTAAAAGGATTTCTGTAGTCCTGAAAACGGTATAATAAAATATTTGTAGAGGAAAAAGTGTTACTTCCACCGATCTAAATTAATTCTTGCACTGGAACTATATAACAATCCACATTGAAACTAATCCTTAAAGAACTATGTCACCCCAAGCATCTTAATTTACTAACTGAATTTAAAAGAAAATGATCCAAATGCATACAAACAGAACTCAGAAGGAACAAGGTACAGCGGGTGGTGGCGCATTACCTTCCTTTTCTTCATGATGGACTTGCCAGGATGGCCCTCAAGCAAATTTCACAAACTTCACGCTCAGCTGAAATGAAAAAAAAATCACATATGCACAACACTCACATTCACTTTAAATTCATGACCCATTGATATATGCATAGCACAAGTACTGTTCAACATATAAATTATAAACACAATATTTTCTTAGTAAGAGAAAGAGAAAATATGCTCTGGGCTTATCATTTTGAGTATGAATTGAATTATAGCCAAAGACAGCACAACAACAAAAAAACAATCATACACAACTGAACATAGAACTCTCAAACGTGTTCGTTGTTTCTAGAGCAAAATGATTTGTTCACTAATGATGTCGATGAACATGTATGGCATATATAATTAACAAAGCCCATGTATGATAGATTGCAAGAACAAACAAAGCCCATGTATGATAGATTGCAAGAACAAAAGTCTGTACGAAAAATCACATATTTGTACAAAATAACAGAGAAGGGGTGGCTTGCATGATGACCAACCACCATCAGTTGACAATAAAGCAAAGACACCTCTATCATGTAATTTTTGGCACAATCAAGTAAAATCACCAGTACACCACAGCTAGTTGACATTAACATGCAAACATGAGAAGCTTCTGTATACGCAGATATATCCGGCAACTTAAGTTTGTGGTCTAGATCATTACTCAAACACAGATCTATCACGTACGGACACTCAACCAACCACCAGTACATCAACTCAATGCATGTTACCAGAGAAACATCAGAAAGTGGTGTGTTAAGCTAGCAGTAACCATGCGTGCAAAAAATCAAGGAATATAAAAGTAGCAGGTTCTAAATTTAGAGCAAGCGTCTGCATAGACACATCGGCCATGAAAGAACAAAATCACAAGTTGGTGTGGAAGGGGATAAGCACACCATGCATATCTGCCGATGTGCACACTCACCGCAGCTGCCCTGGTACTTACCTTGTTGACAGTATTGCTCTGCCTCCAGTCGAACGCGTTGAGCCGGTAACAATTGGCCAGTGGCGACTAGAGTTCACTGCCGCCTCCAGCGAGTCGTCGCGGTAGACCGGCCATCGCACAGCTGCTCTGCTCCAACAAGGCTACTGTCGGTGTTGAGATCAATGCCGGATCCAGCGCACCCAAGACGCCGTTGTCATCGCTCCTTGTTGCCGCCATCGAACTCTCTTAATCTACAGCACATGCTGCGGATCGGAGGATGGGGCGGAGTGAGGGTCATCGGGAATGGTAGAGCATAGGGTGGAGGACGCAGAGGTGCCACTGGGAATGGGAATGGAGGAGGTACGGGAGAGGCCGGGGAAGAGAAAGGGCTCAGCCGGGAGGTGGAGGAAGGGGTGGTGAAAGGAGCGACCACCAGTTGGAGAGGGTGCGGAGGAGGGACAGGAGATTGGGGATGGGGTCGACGGAGAAGGGAGAGGAGATTGGGGATGAGGGCGGCGGCGGAGGGAGAAAGACGGAGCTTAGGGTTAGGTCTTATACTGTGAATGGCTCAGATGGGCTTTAGTGGGCTTGAAATTTTTACCACCGCGCGCGCTAATGGAATTCTAGGCGCGCTCCCTCCTTTCCTCGCGCGCGCCTTCCTCGCGCCACCCAAATTCAAGCGCGCCCTTCCTTTCCTTGCTTTCCTTTTATTTTTTATATAAAAATCATGCAACTAACATGTGAGCCAAATAAAGAACATGTACGACACATCAACAAGAGCCACCCGTGACCGTGTGGATTGTGTATAAACAAAGAAAAAACGAGGCCGAGCTAGTCGATCGATGGTAGTTTTTGTGACGGCTCCTTGATGTCCGTCATGAAGGGGCTACCGCTTTGGCGGCTGTTCGCCTCTTGCTGATCCATAACGGTTTTCGTGACGGTTTTCAGGAACGTCATCAGAAATCCGTCATGGATTAACAGATTTCTTGTAGTGTTGCTTGCGAGAAGAATAATACTATTGCGCATGTGCTCAGTTCATCCCCACCGAATATTTCGTTCAAGCGGGATTTGATTGGGCCTCGCCTTACGTCATGGCATAATCTATTGTCCAAGCTGGATTCGATTAACCTGACACAAGGTCGGGATGTGTTTCGCTGGAACCTTACTACATCAGGGTCTTTCACAATAGAGTCCATGTACCGTGCACTCACGCATTCTGAGGTACTAGTGAATAATAATAAGAAACTATGGAAGTAGAAGATTCCACTAAAGGTCAAAATCTTCACATGGTATCTTTGTAGGGGGTTGTGCTAACCAAAGACAACCTCACACGGCGCAACTGGCAAGGGAGTAAGAAGTGTTGTTTTTGTACTCATGAAGAGACAATCAAACACCTCTTTTTTCAATGCAAGTTTGCACGTTCTACGTGGTCAGTCATCCAAATGGCGTCAAATTTGTATCCGTCCACAAGTGTTGCCAATATTTTTGATCATTGGTTGGACGGTATTCTAAATAGGTTTAAAACGCTAATAAGGGTGGGAGCGCATGCCTTAATGTGGTCTCTATGGCTATGTAGAAATGATTTGGTTTTTAATGACAAAAATGCTTCTCCTCTACAGGTTCTTTTCCGGTGTACGCACTCGCTTTGTACGTGGTCTACACTAAAGCAAGCGGAGTACCAACCGCTGTTCATGGCGGTGTGTTCGTGATTGGAGCAGGTGGCTATGGAGGTTTTTTCCCAACATGGGTGGCAGTATAACCTCCGGATTGACCCGCCATCGCTTTCGACATAGGCATATATAGTGTCGGTCTATAGGACTCTACTGTTGCCGTTTTGTCGATTTTGTTTCTTTTCTTTCTGTCAAACTTTTTAGAATGGGCTGTGTGCATCTTGGTTATGCAGAGGTCAGATGTCACTCATAATGCTTTGTATCCGCTTCATACTACATTTTTGAGATAATAAAACACCCTTTGTCAAAAAACAGAGGAGCTGACACACTCGGCTCTTCATTCTCAACAAAAATGAATTAAAAGAAACTCAAAGTCGTATATCCAATTAATGGAATATAGACACATATATTCACTAGGAATGATTATTTGACTTTACATAAATTAGGTATGTGTGTGGGGCTATACAGATGTACTCAAGCCATGAAACCGATAAAGGCAAGCAGGATGGCAAGGCCAAACCCCGTGGCCTTCACGGAGGTGGCGGTAGAGACAGGCGTGGTTGGAGGAGCGTTGCTTGCATTGGGGCCACTAGCCGGGGCGGGTGATGGTGAGGAGGAGCTAGGCACGACGTCGATCTTGATCTTCATGCCACTAGTGCAGTGGCCAGGGAACCCACAAATGAAGTACCGGGTGCCAGCGGCGGTGAGGGTGACGATGTCGTTCCCGGAGTTGAGGGTCGCAATAGGGTTGACGATGCTGCAAGAGTCGTAGTCGGCCTTGCTAACTTCAAGGACGTCGTGCGCCTGAGGGGAGTACTTGAAGACGATCTGGTCGCTGAGTTGGAACTTCCTGGAGGATACCCAGGTGCCGTAGTTGGTGGTAAGGTCCCACGCGCCGCCCGGTTCGCCAACATTGTAGACTGCTGCCGACGCGGTGCTTAGGACGGCCATCGCGGCAATGATGAGGAGGCTGAGTCTCATGGCAGCAATTGCAGTTGGAACTTAAAGGAAGGCAACGAGAGCCAGCAGAGGAGGTATAAGCCGGGTGCTGTGTTGATCCTCAAGCTGAGATTGTGTTGCTTGACTTGCTTCCGTAAGTGCTTGTGCTGGGTATATATACAGTACATGCTATGCCCAGGTCGGTTGATGAAACGTGTGTGGTAGGTGGAAATATGCCCAGACTTTGAATGTTCTACGTGGGAACACAAGCTAGGCAGCTGGTATGTACTTGGTCATACTGAACATCTGAAGACCGGGCTGTGTTGTTTGGCCTGGTCACCTTTTCACGAGTCTTCGTGGAGCCATTGCCAATCGTCTGCTCCAATATCGACGCGGTCTACTCTACAAGACGTAGAACATCTTTTCCCTAAAAAAAAAAGAAGACGTAGACCATCTTCACAATTCACAAGTCTTCTAGAAGTAGATCGAATGATACAGCCGCATTTCAACTCCTAATTCTTCTCTCTTAAGTAAATAAAAAACTTTCTCCTCTAAAATTGCAAGCTTCCAATTGGCTGAATCCCATGGCACAACTAAATAATATGCCAGCTTTCAAGTTTCAAAAATAAAAATTACAGTTTTCATCTTATTGCACAGAAGTCCAACATTTAATTCAAGAAGTATAGCTTTCATTACATAACAAAAAGTTTTTCTTTGATATGACAGTTAGCTTGATTAAAATTGGTAAAATGAAGCCTTCAGCCCATGAATTAAGCAGAAAAATGACCCACATTACATCATCGTGGATGTATTGCAAAATAACAATGCGTAAAATAATTATTGAGTGACATATTATATTAAATTCTAGTAAATTTCAAAAAAATTAAAGGACTTTCACGACAATGGCAGAAATATGTTTTGGTGTTCAGTCCATGTAGCCTGTTTTGACGAAATCTACTTATTATGAAGTGTCAAGAACTTCTCAAAACAATTTCACATACACATGCGGGGGCACACACACATAGATGTATTTTATGAATGTGTAAAATTTAATTATGGGACACTTTAACATGTCATCTATAACAAAACACATACTTAAATGGATTTGAAAATTAGCAAATAGTACGTTCACTACACTTCTTCCTGTTAAAACTTGTCCACATTTTCAACTAAAAAATCACTCTACATATTTTCAAAAAATTAGTCATCCTAGACTTAGGAAATCACATTAATGTCTTAATGGTTGTGGCTAGATCTGAGCCGATTGAGACTAATCAAGTCCTAGTCAAGAGATGAACCACGTTTATATACAGATAACATTAAAAAAAGAAAACAAAAACGAAAAATTCACCCAAATGTCTACATAAAATCGCATGGATGATATAGTATCGACTGAGACTGAGATTTAATGATATCATTTCTGAATATATTTCTTATCAATTATGAGCAACTATTACTGACCCGTGTTATTATGCGACGAACCGGACGTAGCCCTTGCTGCGGTTGTGGTGGTGCAGCGTCTGCTCCGACCTGGCCGTACGTGTTGTTGTCCAAGACGGCGCGCTCCCCGTCCTTGTCCAGGATCTCTATGAAAATCGTCCGGGCGGCCCTACCGAGTAAGAACGAGTCCCAGTGGTCTTCCATGGTGACGAGAACAGCGACGAAGCCTGCCGACTCCTCGTCAAAGCCCGCGGGGTACACCTTGAGGCGGTAGGCGCGGTCGCCGAGGCGAAACCTGTCGAACTCAAGCACGGAGCCGACGAGCTTCCGCGCACATTGCGAGTAGCCGGCGACGGTGAAGACACGAGTCGTGGCCTCTGTCTTCAACACGGTGCACGACGACGGCAGGTTTGACCCCGAGTGGCTGCTGAGGGTGAAACGAGGCATTGTGCTGTGCGTGCTCGGGACGGCGACGTACTTCTCAACGCTAGCTATATATGGAGGGGCGCAAATCACTTGCCTTGATTTTGCCCTCACCGCGTTCATGGATCTACCGGGAGGCTTTTTTTGGCTTTCCACACAGTGCTTTGTGGTCTGGTATCAAAATCCAATCATTCCATCTATCGGCCAGGAATAAATATATGGCAACCCGATGATTTACATAGAAATCAAAAACGAAGATCGACTCAATCGATGATAATACCACACACCATACTAGTGGAATGCCCATGCGTTGCAACGGGCAAAAGCCGAATGTCCATGTGTTGCCAGATAATAATAAAAGACATAGAAACATTGATCAAATTATTCTTTTAATTCGAAAATATGTGTTAAGCAAGGTAGGCATCTGATTTCCATCATACATCGACAAATAAAGACTCTCTTCCACTTGTTTTCTTCTCGGTAGTCATTGTGTCTCCTTGACCAACCAAATCGTTCGCTAACTGGATATATGTCGTCAACAATTAAGTAGTATTAATATTACTCAACTTCACGCATCCATGGGTGCCACTATTATAAGGTACACAAAGCTTGACAATTCCTCAGACTTATAGTGCGCCTCTTTATTTCAGCAATAATAGCACAAGAAGATATATCCAATTTTGTGAGATTGTTCTTCATCGATAGCATGGATGTTTCATTCTCCATAGCAATAATCAGCCTGACAATGACACTGCAAATGGTTCAAGTCCGTGTCAAATATTAAGCCGAAGCTATTAACTGCGGCAATTTTTCAACCAACACATCACCCTTGGTAAGTGTATAGTGCACCATGGCTTGTACCGCACCTGAATTCGGCTTGTACATACAGATATTTTTTAAAAAACTGAGAAAAAGTCTACAAATGGGCACAACATGAACCGATAATTTTTCACAAAAATCAAGTACCTTTTGAATCTCAACTAATGTCAATTACCTTTTGAATCTCAACAGATGTGCACTAAGTGGATATCTCTATCCATGTAGAACCATCTATGTGATCAATCTTACTGAAACTACAAAAAGTATGCAAAAGATAACACGTTATATCAGTGAACACCGGAAGATTGCATTCTTAAGTAAATGAATTTTAAGAAATTCATAAACTCACCTGGTCTCTCGCCAACCAAGTTAACTTCCTGACAGTCTCATCCCCTTCCAAGCGAGGGCCAACACGCCCTTGCAAGCATCCGCACTGGAGTGTCCGACCATCTTGCGTTTCATTGGATCGAGCCCCTGGCAACCATCAGTATCGTGACTTCAGGGAGAGATAGGAGATGATGGTGCGGTGCCAGATCGGGAAGAGATGGGAAACGGGGCGGCGGTGCCGGGAGAGCTCCATGAACGGGATATGAGCCCACCGTCGCCGCAGCCACCGTGGACTGCCCTCGGATACGCCAACCCCGGCGCCGGGGGTGGCCCCTCCCCGTCGCTGATGTCGCCGCCTAGCCGTCCGCCCCTAGCCCGGATTCCCGTCCTCGCACTCCTGAACATCGTCTCGATAACCGCACTGCTCCAGCATGGTCTCGAGCGTCCTTTGCCGTAGCTGCAGCTCTAGGGCCTCTGAGGCCGCCCTTCGCCTATTCGCCGATGACATGGAGGCCGCAGGCTCCATCGAGAACCCTAGGCGCACGCGATGGGTGGCGGCCGGCCGGCTTCGCTTCGCGGCTGGGGAGGAAGAGGGACATAGGTTCGTAGGTTTCAGTCACGCTGGTTTTTCTTGCTTGTTTCTTCTGTGCGTGCAGAATCGTGGGGAATCCTCGGGGATTGTGCAATCGAGGTTTGGGAGTAGGAAGCGAAGATACCACCTACCAACTGAGTAGAGATCAGAAAAGGTAAGAATCAATGTGTTAGGAAAGTTAGGATTTGAATTGATTTCCATGAAAATGGGTTTTATTGTTTGTAACGTGATATCAATACCTGCCCGTTTGTGACATGCCTACCAACTGAGTAGAGATTAGAAAAGGTAAGAATCAATGTGTTAGGAAATTAGGATTTGTATTGATTTCCATGAAAATGTGTTTTATTGTTTGTAACGTGATATCAATACCTGCCCGTTTGTGACATGTATGGTTAGGAAAGTTTGCAAATGTTAAGAAAGTTTTTAATGGGAGAGTAAAAAAAATCACCGTGAGGATATAATAATGGAAGGTGAGACAAAAATAAACCAAACGAAAAAAACGACGAAAAAAAAATCTACGAAGGTTAACCTATAAAAAACCGGACGAAAGTGGTGGGACGAAAATTGACCGGAGGAGACTACCAACTGCTCCATTAGGAGTAGAGATTAATCTACGGAAAAAACCGGACAAAAATGGTGGGACGAAAATTGACCGGAGGAGACTATCAACTGCTTCATTAGAAGTAGAGATACGTCCCCGGCAAGTTTATAATATGCGGCCGAGAGAGATGAGGAGCCCATCAAATATATAGGGTGGTAATTATATTAGTACCGATCTCCAACAGCAGACGAGATCGATGGGTGCCAACCCTAGCCATGCAGCGCCGGCAGCGCCGTCGCTGCCGGTGAGGTGCGGCCTGTTCGAGACGATAGATTCCGTGACATATCTCTTCACGGTGCCCGAGTACTCGAGGTGGGCGCGGACGCCGGCCCGCACGGCGCTCAACTTCGACCCCTTCTTCGTCCGCGGGGCACTCCACCACCTCAAGGTCTACCCCGGGGGCATCGACAAGAAATCAGCGGACTTCGTGGGTGTCTTCCTCGTCGCCCGGCACGGGATTTTTGAGCACATCTACACCAGGGAGGGCCGCTGCAGGCTCAGGATCTCCATCGAGATCCTAGACGAGAGCGGCGAGCGCACCGTTTTCGACAACTACATGGCGCGATCGGGGCAGACGCTCTGGGGCCTTGGAAAGGGCTACGTCCGGTTCGTGAAGAGGAGCGAGCTGGAGTGCTCGTCGTGCATTCGTCGTCACGATGATAGCTTCACCATCCGGTGCACAGTGTTTGTCGACGTGGAGGTGGAGGTGAGAAACATGCCGGTGAAAGTGTTCGCGGCAGAACAAATGGTTCAGGCCTCGAAGCCAGCAGCCGGGACGATCAGTGCGTCCTACACGATGACGATTAGCTTCTTGAATGTCAAGGCAGCGCTCCGTACTGG